GGGGGGAAGTAAGAGGGGAGCTGTTGCATTGGGGTAAATTGGAATCAGTGTCATGTGACAGGGTGTATGTGAACTGCCGTATGGGAAGTGAGTTTGCTCTGTGGACTTTCATTCAAATTACAATTAAAAAAAAGATTTCATCTGATATAAAAGTAAATTCAAAGGTAATCAGTAAGAATTTTTTAAAGTTTTGCTTCTGACTTGATAAAAGAGAAAACTATTAAGAAGAAAACATCTGAAAACAAAACTAAACTTACCGCCAATGAATCCCACAGTGATGTAAAGCTCTACAACATTGGTACTAAAAGAGGCGGAGACCATTCCCAAACAGCACAATAAACCTCCTACTATCACCACTGGACGGCTTCCATATTTATTCACCAAAACACTACTTATGGGACCTGAAATAGATTAAGAAAGATTCAGTTGCTGGGTCATTTGCTTACACCTATTTCTCACTTATTGACTATCTCATTATCTGCCATTTTGCATTTGTGACAATAGTAAAAATTCTACTATCCAACAATTTTGTTTATTCTGTGCATTAATGATGTATGTCAGTAATGAATGTGGATGTACAAGGCAAGAGTAATACTGGCTGTGATGGTTAAGGTTATGTGTCAATTTGGTTGGGTCATGATTCTCAGTGGTTTGGCAGTTAGGTAATGATGTAACTTGGCAGTTAGGTAATGATGTAGCCATCTTCTCTTTTGTGATCTGATGTGGTTTTCCTCTGTTTTCATATAATGCCATTTTTTGAATAATAACCTGGTCTTTGGAACGTAACTATGGCAGTAAGTGTGGAGTGTTTAAAAACAGTTAATTTTGAAATTTTAGAAAGCACATTTTAATGTTCAAAGAAAAAATATTATTTCACATAAAACAAAATGACATGAGGACTTTTACTATTTCACAATAATCAGTATGACTATTTTTAACAATATATATGAAAATAACTAAAATGAAATAAGTTTAACATAAAGCTTGCTTTGATGGTAATCAATGAAATTTTGATGGAAGTTTTTTAACAGGAGATAGTTAAAAAATCTGGAATATCTTAATAAATGCAAGAAAACACATGTCTCAAAAAATTTAAGGATTATATGAATGGTTTATGTTAAAATTTTATTTTCTGAAAAAGTGTGTGTGTACATGTGTGTGCACCCTTAATTAGAGTTCAGTTCTTTTATAGCTTACTGTAATTTTATTTTGATACTATATTTCATTGAATTTATGCTACTGAAAGAGGCACATACTGAATGTGAAGAAGCTTTAGGAATGCCTTACTAAATATGTTTAATATATTTTGTGTTGTATTTGTATGTGTGTGTACAAAATATTCACAAAACAAATTGTGTATGAATGGTTGAATGAAAAACTAATTTGCTCTGTAAATTTTCATCCAAATCACAATAAAAAGTTACAAATGAATAAAACATTCAAGAGTGATATATGATTAAAAAAATCTATGTCTGAGTAACTAAAAAAGCTCTGTTAGTAATTATAAAACTTCTATATATTAAGAAAGAGTTGTGTCATTTTAATGGGTAGTATTTCTTCTTTCTTTGTAGATTATAAAAAATAGTGAACTTTGCAATTGAAGATATCTTAGATTCAGTGAAAGCCCACATCACAATATGGGATCTGACGGTCGGTTATTTTGAAAATTCCACATTGACTCATATTTAATCTGAAACTAGAGCCACTGTTTTGAGGGAGAAACTATAGTTAGGTCACAATTCTCTGTCCAAAATTTGATCTACAAAAATAAAATGACTTTAGCTAGTTAGGTAACTTGTAAATTTATTAAGTGTTGTTATACTAAGTCTGAGAATTTCTACACAGGGAGGATTTAAAAGACATTTACCGACGCAGTCATATTCTTTCACACAACTATCATTATTATTTTTATTCTTAAACATAATTTTGAAATTAAACCTTTCTGCTTGATAATGCTTATTATCATTCCACAATAACTTTTGAAAAGATATTAGTAATAAATAATTTTAGAAAGTAATTCAAATACAACACAAAATTTTGTACTTAACAGCAGGGAAAATGAAACTAAAAAGGGGCATGTGAAAGAAAGCTGTATAAAAACAGTTGGGGAAAAAAAATCAAAGAAGGTTATACAAGATGGTGTGAAAGTAAAATCCTATCCCTAACAAATAAAACTCACCTGAAGAGAAGAAAAGAAAAAGTAATATGTAATACATTTAGTATCATATATGATAATGCACTATGTTATAACAGACAATATATGATTTAGGAAAGGAGCTTCTTCATTAAAAGGAATATCCCATTGCTGCTGAGTCAATTCCAACTCATAGAGACCCTACAGAACAGAACAGAATTGCCCAATAGAGTTGCCGGGGCTGTAAACCATTTTTTTTTTTTTTTAACTGTGATTTGGGTGAAAGTTTACAGAGCAAATTCAATTTCCACACAGCAGCTGACATGAAACTTTGTCTCATAACATTGACTGAAATTTCCCACAATGCAACAGCTCCCCTCCTATTTCCTCCCCATAGTTACCTTTTCCCTGTGTCCTTCTTTCCATGTACTCCTGCCCCTGAGCTGTCTCCCTGTGCATACACAGCCCTTCTATTCTCCCATGATTGTTCTCTCCAAGGAGTGTATCTACCTAATGTAAATGTTCAGCTCATATGCCT